TTGGCCTAGGACTTTTCTCAATCCATTCTCAGAATTAGGAGATTCCCTTCCTCCACCTTGCTCCTGTGTAAGAATTTTCTCAGACTCTCGCTTCTGAGAGTCCTGTCCTTTCCCAGTAAGAATGAACACAGTGGCAGTGAGTTTAGGCGTCTTTGCTTTTGTTGGCTAGAAAAGGATTCTTCCGGACTAGTAGCCCACCCACTTATCTACCCATGTTATTGTTTAGTTACTTGGGTCTAAAGTGGGAAAAGAAAAGATCCAGTAGCTGATTGTTCACATCCCTATTCTTTAGTCACTAGGGATTAGAGAAGAAAGCCATTTCCTCTGGACTTAGATGCTTGAACTATCACACTAAAGGGTATTACCTGCCTGCTATGTTTAGTTTTCAGAGTCCTGAAGTAGTCATTCTGGTTTTTTTCAGTCTACAATTAATGTTTTGAAAATGATGATGGCAGTGTAATGTACAAATGTGCTTGACACAATGGATGAATGTATGTTTTGTGATAGGAGCTGTAGGAGCCCCCAATAAAATGGCTTAATTTTTTTTTAAGTGAGGGGGAAGATCTCTAGTTTTAGAATTAGATTTTTGTGTCTGTCCAGCACTTACTAGCAATGTGTTTATAGGCAAGTTATTTAAGTAAGGGTAGCGCTTACTGCTCTAGGAACTAATTGAACTGCCCTCGCAAAGCAGCAGCATCTACTCTCCCTGAATCCATAGTGTATGCATCACTTTTGAAAGAGATCAGACTTCTCTGTGTTTACTAAACATTCTTCCCCTTACCCTACCCCATCACCAGCTTCATAAACAGCAATAGAGCAATGACAATGGTTCCATATTCAAGATTGGTGTATCTGGCTCTCAGTTTTGACATTGTCAATGACTTGACTTGTGGTTTCTACTTGATCTTTCCATGATAACCATACTCAAAAAATTCATTACTATTGACTCAATTCTGACTCGGTGACCCTGCTGACCTTGTAGTTAGCAGCCCAAGGCATGTATATCAAATAAACATTTTAAAGTCCTATATGGATTTTTTCCTTCAGAAAAACTAATATATGTATATCTAAATTCATCAAAAGAAAAATTGATAAGATTTTAATTTTATGAAGAAAATGGTGTAATCCTCAATAAACTGTGCTTCAACTGGAATTTAAATAGTTAATTTTTAATTACATAGACTTTTTATATTTATGTTTTATGAAGTAAGACATGTTCTTCAGTTTTCATATATAAATAGAATAGGGAAACACAATGGTTAATACTCTCCAGCTAATGGAAAGGTTTATGGTTTCTGTCCACCAGGCACTCCATGGGAGAAAAGACCGGTACTCTCCTGTAAAGGTTACAGCTTAGCAAACCATGGGCAGGGTCATAGAAAGTCATTAAGAGTTGGAATCACAACAATCCATTTTTGCCAAAATTTTACCCCTTATCTACTATTATTGCCAATTTGTTCTCTGTGTTTTACCTACTCAAATTTGAATATAAACTCAGCAATGGTACTCATTGCTATAGGGAAGGAAATAAACTTTTCTCTGCTTGTTGCCTAAAATGGTTTCCATACTACTATTGACTAAATAGCAAAAAACACCAAAAAACCCTAAAAGGAAAACATTAACTTAAAAACTAGTCCTTTAAAGTAGTAATATAACAGTAACACCATTACCATACTTCTGCTTTTCATCCAGTACCCAATTAACTTATCTATAAAAAAGACTGTAGGACAGAAATACAATATTTGCAATGTGTACCTTCTCTCAGGGCATTTCTACAACATCTCAGGGAAAGTGTGCAGAATTTCACATGACAGGAGGTGAGCTACGTTGCAAAAGACAAGTGAGACAAGGGATTATATATTAGTTCCAAAAGTGCTGCTATATCAGAAATATCACCTGTGAGTGACTTAAAAAGAAAATTATTTTTTTCACAGTTTCGGAAGGCAGAAGTTCAATTCAGGGCACCAAGTCTAGGGAAAGAATCTTGATTTTTCTGTTTTGTTTTATTTTTAGTCAAGAGCTTGTCTCAGCACTATGACATTTGGTCCCTGGGAATCTTCGTGTGGCATTTGTCCTTCCCCTTTTATGTTACTTCTCTGACCTTGAATCCAGTTCCTGTCCCCTCCGTATAATACCACAGATGCCTCAGTCTTGAAAATGCCAAGTTGTGAAGAATTTAATTTAAATTGGCCTTACCTTGGAAGAAGGTGTCCTGGTTATGTAGTGGGTTACACGTTGGACTGCTAATTATATAGTTAGAAGTTCAAGTCCACCATCCACTCCATGGAGAAAAGATAGGCAGTCTGCTGCCATAAAGATTTACAGCATCAGAAACCCTAGGGAGCAATGATTCTCGATCCTATGGGACTACTATGAATCAGAATTAATTCAATGACAGTGGTGTTTGGTGTGGCTTGGGTTGGCTTGACTTGGGTTGACTTGGCAGTGTTCACAGAGATCAGTCAAAAGTAAATTCTGTTTAGAAGAATTCTGCTTCAGTCTAGACTTCATACCTGTCTCATAAACAAAGTTCAAAGTAAATTAGCAAGTAACAGATACAAAGGTGACAGTGTACACAGAAACCAAGGCACCATAAGGAATCAGACTGTATAAGGACCCTCAAAAACTTGAAATCCTGGTATTAACAAAAAAGAACAGTAAGATAGAAATGTAATATATTTAAATATATTTAAAGAACTAAAAAAATAAGCTTCTAAACAGTAAAATGTAATATAGGAAATTAAAAAATTAATAGACGCTTAAGCCTACAAATTACATATAGAGAGAATGGGGAAACAGATTAAACAACTTAGGAAAATTATTCACAATACACCCCAGGTAGATGAAGAGCTATAAAGTGAAGGAGGTATTAGGAAACATTGTAAATACAGATAGATTATATAATCAAATTGGAGCTCCACAATGAGATAATAGATGCTAAGAGAAAGGAAATGTTTTAAAATATATTAATAAAAAGTTTAAATCTCAAAAAGGCATCAAATTTCTGATCTAGAGTCTATACAAGTATACCTTAAAATATTGAATGTCTGTTATAAATATAGGCTAGGACAAATTATAATACAAATACAAATAAGTCCCATTTAAAAAAATATATTCGTTGTGTTAAAACTTTCAGAAAAAAATAAGCTTTACAGTAAAAAGATAGCTATCTCATTATTTTCCCTCTAGATCAGAATGCATATAAATAATTATTACCTGTCCACTAGTCTTCATTACAATTTCAACCACCATCACTCATCTCTTCATGTTAGTCCAGCGTTCACTTCGCTGGCTTCTTCTGTCTTGTCTTGCACTCCTCCAGGCTGGTTTCCACATTGCAATCAGAGATATCTTTAGAAAAAACATATCAGTATATTGTTCCTCTGCTTTAAACTCTCCAGTAGATCTCATTTTCTTGTGTATAAAGTCTGAGTTAATTATTTATCAGATATAAATTGTATAGTTCCCAGAGAGTATTCTCTATAAACCTGTAAACTCTCCTATGAAGACTTTTGGTCACTCTTGTAATGCCATTACTTTACACTACGTCTTGCCCATATTTAGTAATATATATTTGCCTAAATTTAAACTTCAAAATAAATCTCAAACTTTAAGATATCTATTGACTAACTCAATCAGTTCATTCTGGTCCCCATACTTTATATATTTGGGGTAGAGGTATTTCAGATAACAAAAATGATTTATCACACAGTTAATTTGCGAATAGGTCCAGTTTCATGTTTTGTTTTCCACCTAATAAATTGCCTCTAGATAAGTTTGCATTGCAATTATTGACAATTCAAGGTTGTATATTAGCATAACTGACCTTATTTTCAGGTATAATCTTTATTTTTAAAAACGTAATTTTACATTACCATTGATGCTCGATTTATTTAGCATCTTCCAAAGTGAAATGTTTAAAGAAATGAAAAACTAGAAAATACACATAAAATCCTTATCTACTTCTGATTTCTATTTTTAATTCTGAAGTTTATATTTAAATATAAATTCAGATAAGTATGTCTCAACATGTCATTGAATAGCATATTGTTATTCTAACTATACTTCTGACAACAATATTTTTATCTTTTGTATCAGATGTACATAAATCTAAAATTCCAATTAAAAGGCAAGTAATATCTGTCCAAGGTGACGGTAGTTTATATTCACAGATGCAGGCTAAAGGGGTGATATGAAATGGACCGACGCAGTGGTTCCAGCAGTAGACTCAAGCGTAGCAATGATCTTGCAGATAACATAGGACTGGGTAGTGTATCGTTTTGTTGTATACAGCATCACGGTGAATCCAAATGGACTGGATGGCACCTAACAACAGGAACATCTGTAAATGAAAAGGTATACCTCACATTTAAGATAAGTGGCTAGGTCAAAGTAACAAAGGCAGTTAATGGCAGAGCATGCTTCTAATACTCAAATGAAAATCCTGGCCCTCAAAGTTTCTTATCTTGTCTATTGGTTTAATTGTGACCTGGTAATTGAAAGGTCTTTCCAGATTAAATTACCTCAGATACCAATAGATAATTTAGCTTTCCACTCTCACCCCAGGGACAAGCACTGTGAAAAACTTTGTCTCACTTCCAAACTTCTAGACTTTCTGAGAAGAAAAAGCTCAAATTCCAGTCTCAACTCTTGAGCACTTTGTATGTATAAACATAAATATTACTATTATACATATTTTTGTATGTTTTATCTCATTGAACACATTACAACTTTATGATGCTGATGATAGTTTGGCCATGGTCAAATAGATTGAAAGTGAGTAATTTTATCCTGATTCCACATTCAGTGCATTTTCCAATCCACCACACTAACCGTTATTGTAAAAAAGCCTCAGCAAGAGTGCCCAATTGTATTGTAAAGATGTCATTCCTAAGGTAGTTGTTTACATATAAGTACAATGATTGATCTTTGTTGTTGAATGTATTTAAACAAAGCATTCCTTAAAATGTGGTATTTATCCACTTTCTTTTTCTTTTCAGGCCTGTATGTGGAATCAGAGGGAAAACTCTCATAATTAACCTGCCAGGTAGCAAGAAAGGATCTCAGGTAAGCAACCTTGAGATTTATACAGATTAGTGTAGCATTAGTCCATTACAAAGTTGGTGGAGCCGTCCACAAACAGCCCTCATTTCTGGCACCAATTTCATGATGGTAAAGTTCTTAAAACCGTATTTAAGGTTTGATAATTCACTGCGAGGATTGACAGAACTCATTGAAAGCTGATATATTCATGGTTATTTTTTATTAGTGGGAAAGGATGCAAATTAAAATCAGCCATGGGAAGAAACATATGGGGCAGAGTTCAAGAGAGATACCAAACATGAAACTCCCACTGTCCTCTCTCGGTGTTATCATGGACATGGTATTCGCCTGGTATCACAATGTACAAGTAGTGCCAACCAGAGAGAATAGCAAGACTTCCTATAAAGATTTACATTCTCCTGTCCAATAGGGTCACTCTGAGTTAAATTCAAATTTAATGGTAGTTTTTTGGTGTGCCAACCAGAGAAGCTCAATGAAGCAGTTGGTATCCAGATGTTTTATTGTGGTTCAATCGCATGCTCTATCTGGGTGACTTTTCAATACCTTTAGTCTTTAGTCCTTTCCAGAGGCAAAACTGATATTTCATGTCCCAAAGCCACACTGAAGGATAAAAATACATTTTCTCTTAGCAGATCTGAAAATCTGAAGGCCTGGAAGCTGAGGGCAATGACAAAAACTCTCCAAAACCAAACTCACTGCCATTGGGTTTATGCTGGCGCAGAGCTACCTATGGGACAGAGTAGAATGGCCCCTTCGGGCTTCTGAGGTTGAGATTCTTTCCAGCATTAGAAAGTCTTGTCTTTCTCCCAAAGAGTGGAGTTTGGTCTAAAATGCTGACCGTGAGGTTGGCAGCCCAATTTGTAACTACTACACCTCCAAGGATTAATTCTTCACATCTTTTCTGCTCGCTCCTTTTCATCATTCTTGGTTTCCATGATAAAAAGACCTTACTTGACTCCTAGTAGAAAATCAACTCAATACAGAGATAGACAGATGATGTTCGATTTTACTTATAATTCTTTTATACCTGTGTTTGGCTGATTGTGATACTAAAGAAAAGAATTTTAAAGGTGAAATGCAGTTTCTACCATTTATGGTGATTATTTACTTTTTGAAATCTATATAGGAAAATGATTAGGAAGACTTGTTTACTGTTTACACTTCTAGTTATGTTGATATTCAAAAGCATGCCTCAAAAAGTTCATACTGTTTAAAATGTTATTGGCATGTTAAATTATTCTTAACATTAGGATAAATGTAAATTTTTTAAAGTTTTAAGCCTTAAAGTTTTAATTCTAGTTTTTATTTTGTTGAAAGGATGGTGCAAGATTGGGCAGTGTTTTGGTTTGTTCTACAATGGATCACTAGGAATTGGAACCAACTTAACAGCACTTAACAAAAGCTATTAAAAATAGAATTCAATGGCATTTTATTCAGAAAGTTCCAAATGATAAAAATTTCTACTTAATCCAAAATAAGAACCAACTTTTTAAATTTCTCTGATATGGAAACACATCTATTAATTAGAAAATGCTTAAATATACATATTAATGTCAATCACAGATAGGCCTTTTAAAAAATTTGTTGAACCACTTTATTAATATTTTCCCAAGAGTTATATTAACATGATATCATTAATGCTCTATCTCTCCTAATGATATTATTCTGAGCTTTGTAAAGAAGTAGGCATCTATTGTTTTGTTTTATTTGACTAGAGAGGAAGAAATTTTAACTTTGAACTATTCTTTTAAGAAATAAAAATTATAATACAATTATAATTGTTACAACTGCTTTTACCTAATTCAGATTGTCATGAGAAATCTATACTGGTTTTCTCAGTCTCTGAGATTGGGATATAATGGAGACATATTAGATAGATAGATAGATAGATAGATAGATAGATAGATAGATAGATGATAGATAGATAGATAGATAGATAGATAGATAGATAGATAGATAGATAGATAGAATCAAAATCGTTGAGTTCCGGGATCACTGTAATGAAACAGGAATAGGATCTCGCCTTATTTCTTACATGAACTCAACACTGATCTAATTAATATAATTATATAAGTTACCAGTTTAAATTTTCACATCAATAAAACTATGTACTGAAGGGACCTTTTCTATACTGCACCCCCCCCCAATAATTTAGGAAGTCAAAAGGAATGAAGTAAATAATAAAATATGCATAATAGGTGTTAAATCATCCTTTTCATATTTTATTTCCCGCCCAAAGACCAATGACAGCAGTACCTTTGAGATTTGGGAACTTCTGGTCAAATAGGTCAAGTGAAAGATTTCTTTATGCTTGATTCTCTCACTTTGGGGCCCCATGGTCTTTAGAGCATAACCAAGATACACCAAGAATCCTTAACTGCACTATCCATCTGTAACACCTCCTCCATGTTTGTCCACATTCCTTTATGGCAGCGGTTCTCAACCTGTGGGTCACAACCCCTTCAGGGGTCGAAGAACGATCCCTTCACAGGGGTCGCCTAATATATCCTGCATATTACATATTTGCATTGCGATTCATAACAGCAAAATTACAGTTATGAAGTAACAACAAAAATAATTTTATGGTTGGGGGTCGCCACAACACGAGGAACTGTATTAAAGGGTCACGGCATTCAGAAGGTTAAGAACCACTGTTTTATGGAATTGTGTAGTTAAGGAAACAGTAAGTACAAATAATGGCTTAGCCAATTGAAATGTCACATTTTATAGAACCCCAGAAGACATGATTCCTGAGACAGACTATAAAGATAGATATGCAGTATTTCTATGATTAATGATTCCTTGCCTTCTTTTAATTATCTACCTGCTGCCTAGGTCATTAAAAACAATTTGGGGGAGGGAGGGAAAAAACAAGGAGCTGATACCAACAGCTGAAGTAGAAAGAAAATGTTTTGAAAGGGATGATGGTAATATATGTACAGATGGCAACATATGTACATGCTTGACACAATGGATGTATGCATTGTTATAAGAGCTGTAAGAACCCCCAATAAAATAATTAAAAATTAACAGCAACAGCAATTTATCACTTTTAAGGACTAACAGTAACCTTTGTTTAGCAATTTTCATATTGCTCATTATTTGTCAAACAAAATTGGACATACAATATTGTTTAAACTTCAGTTTTTCATTATGAAAAACTTCATTCATAGAACTAGACAGAGTAATACAGTGAATTTCCATGTTCTTCATCTGTAGTCCCATAATAATCAACCACATAGCCAGTTTGGTCTCATCCATATCTCTTGACTTGCACTCCAGATATCATATCACTTCATCTGAATGTGTTTATTTCTCCAATATTATAGGCTTTTTTACATAACCACTGCACTAACATCACATGCAAAACTACCAGTTATTATTTAGTGTCATAAATATCCCTCAATATAATGGTCTCAAAAATCAGGTGGAAGGTGAGAGATCTTTTTTTTAAATACTTTAGTTATTTGAATCATAATCCAGATAAAGTCCACATGTTGATTATAACTTTTTTTCTATTGGATCTCTCTCCTTTTCTTTTCTTTGCAATATATTTGTTGAAGTAACTGGATTATTTGTCCTCTAGTTTCCAGACTAGATTTTCTGAATCACTCCATGATATCATTTACCAAATTCCTTAGTTGCTGTAATTGTTCTGAATTAATGCTTGAATGTAGAATTTTGGTCAGATTCAATTTCAGGGTTTTTTTTAGCAGTTACTTCATAGTTAATTATATTTTTCTCCAGCTGGGGCCCATTAATGTGTGAATGGCTCTCATTTTATGATATCAACCATTGATGCTCAGTATACAAGATCTGTTGAATTAGAGACTACAAAATAATATTTTAATTTTATCATTCTTTGTGTGTTAGTACACGATTTCCCTAAACAGAAAATTGTCATATCTCTTTATTTGGTTACTACTGATACACCGTTCATATCGGAAAAGCAAGGTAAATGTTTGATTCTTTTATTTACTACTTTTGATGAGTCCCTAGGATCTTCTAAAAGTTACTTAACTCCTCTCTTAGGTAACATCAACTCAAATTAAAACATATTTGATGCATTTTAACTTGCTATATTTATCTTCCATATTGGTATTCAAAGTATCCCTTCTTTAGCCAGGTGGAACTTATCAAAATAGCTCCTCTGTCCTTTTGTTGTTGTTCTTTTTTTAGGGTTAGGGTTAGGCCTAGGGTCAGGTTTAGGCTTAGGGTTGGGTTTACGGTTATGGTTAGGGTTAGGGTTAGGGTCAGTGTTAATGTTAGGGTTAGGCCTAGGGTTAGGCTGAGGGTCAGGTTTAGGGTTAGGCTTACGGTTAGGGTTAGTTTTGGCCTAGGGTTAAGGTTAGGTTTAGGTTTAGGGTTCTCCTCTGTTCTTTTGACACAACCATAGAAGCCTTTGATAGCTTCCTTTCTCTCTGACTTGAAAAGAGTTTTCTAAAAGGTTCATCCTTTGGGGATGGGGGGAGTTTGAGAAAAAAAGAGAAACACGTGGGTAAAATTTACATAACAAATTGTTCCTCTGTTCAGCAGTTCATATACATTTTGGTTTGTGATATTGTGTTCCCTATAATATAGTAGCACTCTTCCCACTTCCTTCCTGTGTTTCCATTCATCCTTTTTCCCTATACTTTCCTGCCTAATGAGCTGTAACCATGGGTAAAAGGCTTCCTTAGTGATGTTATTGTTCATCTTACAGGCCTCTGATGTTATTGTTCATCCTATAGGCCTCTTTGGCTAAAATTTTTATAAACCATGGCTTTAAAACACACAGGCAATAGTTAAATGAAAATGTATTGCTATTAGGGTTCCAGATTATGGTGCCATGGGCTTATTCCAAACAAAATATGGTGAAACCTGTCTCTGAGAAAACTGAATGGTCACCAACATGTCTCTCAGTGCTACAGTTAGTCTCATTAGGCCACCTTCAAAAAACAAGTCCAATCAGAGCAGCGACTTCTGAGGAGACCCGCTGAGCCAATTACATTCACGGCAGAGAGATCAGCTCAGAAGTTTAGGACGATGGTTTTGTTTTTTTCTAGGGTTCCAAAGGAACAGTCTTGCTAAATTTTCTTGAAGGACACAGGAACAGGACTGTGATGAGGTCTTATTAGAAAGAAGCTTTAAGAAAATTAAAAACTACATTGATGAGAAAAAGGACATGAACATGTGTGCAATTTTTTTTAACCATCACAACACTGTACTTGCTCATTTTAATAGGGTACCAAGGACCATCCTACAATAATTGTGTTGGTCAGCTTTACTCCATCCAACCTACAGCCTTGATATTGCTCTCGATTTAGAGTTCTTTCTGTTCTCAAAACTCAAAGAACTTTTAAAAGGAGCAACATTATTGGAATCCCTCAAGGATGCCAGTACTGCAATTTTGATGTGGTATAAACTGAAACACACAGAATTCTTTAGAGAAGGAATAGAGAGATGGAAATACCACCTTCAAAAAATGGAAGATATGTCAAGAAACAATAGCTTTACACTTTGTTGTTTTGGTTTAGTAAAAGTTTCTATGACTTTGTGGCAAGACTTTTTGATCTGTCCCTGTTGGAGTGGGAGGAATGCTCAAAAAGTTTATGGAAAATTCTATTATCTGTTAATCCCATTTTCCCACAAACATTTTGAAGCCCTTATATATGTATGTTCAAATATTCATTTTTCCCTTCTCTTAAATAAACTGTAAAAAGCTATATCCATTTTATTCTACCGTGCTTTCCTTATTCACCAATATATATTAGATCCATCTATGATATTATATACATTCTTCGCATTCTTCATTCCTTCTTTAATTAAGGAGTCCTGATGAAGCTTTCTGCTAAGTGTTGGATTGCTAACCACAAGGTTGCAGATTCAAACCCACCCGCCACTCAGTGAGGGAGAGTTGAGTCTGACTGCTCTCATAAAGTTTGACAGTTACAGAAATCCTCTATAGATGCACGATGAATCAGAATTGACTCAATGGCAGTGAGTTCATACTCCGCTGTGCCAATGTACCCATTACTTATTCAGTCAATTCCCTCTAAATGAACATATGAATCTTTTCTCATTGTAAATAGTCCTGCAAAACTTGAATATATGTGCACGCATGTGCGTGTGTGTGCGTATTTTTCAATGTGTCTGTGGAGTAACAAATCCCTTCAGTAAGGTCGCACTGATTGACTTCGCCTCTAGCAGTATGTGAGAGTGCATGCTTTCTTACATCGTCACCCACTACTTAAACGTTGTCTAACTTTTGTCTATTTGCTACTCTCATAGGATAGAAAAGGTATCATAATGTAGTTTTATATTACATTTTTCCTATTATGAGTGATGTTGAGCATCTGAATATATGCTTAGATAATGTTGAAGTTCTGTGTTTTATGCAGAATATTATAAAATGTGTTATATTGTACATTTCATATTGCAAATGCATTGCTTTAAATAGTATTCTTTATCCTTAAGGTCACTGAGGTAAAATGCAGATTCAGATTCACAAATAAATCTGACTGACAGCAGTTTTTTTTTTTTACTTAGAAAACGGTTCCATCTGCATATTTTTTCTTCCCCTTGCATACAGGAATGCTTTCAGTTCATACTGCCAGCTCTACCTCACGCCATCGACCTTTTACGCGATGCCATTGTAAAAGTAAAGGAGGTGCATGATGAACTTGAAGATTTACCTTCCCCACCACCTCCTCTTTCCCCTCCTCCCACAACCAGTCCCCATAAACAGACAGAAGACAAAGGGGTACAATGTGAGGAAGAAGAAGAAGAGAAGAAAGACAGTGGTGTTGCTTCAACAGAAGACAGTTCCTCGTCACATATAACTGCAGCAGCCATTGCTGCCAAGGTAAGCCTTTTGAGAGAGACCCAGAGTTCTAAAGGACTCACTGGCAAATATACTGGTTTCCTTCCTCTATCCATCCTGTCCCCCCATAAGTTTAGTACCTCTTTAAGGTCTCTTAAATAACTTGGGTATTCATGATGTTCTACCCCTGTGTTCCCTCCACTATGTAGAGTGCTAAAGATAATAACATTTGTCTGAAATCTGAGGCATCAAAGATATTGCTGTTACTTACTGGACTAAATATTGCAATGATAAACAATGTAGCATTTTAAAAGTTTTTGGAGATAGCACTTTTGGCGCCATATTAAACATATAGCATTCATATGTTCACTGTGTCAAAAATTCATAAATTCTTATAGGAACAGCAAGTGAGCTAAAAATTTTAGATAAATAAAAATGAATATGAGAAAGATTAATAAATATTTCTTAAAATACAAAGCTTTTCAACAATGTTGAATTTTCCCTAACTACACACTTATTCAAATGTTACTCAAAACAATTACCTTAGTGGTATAGAAAGCAACTAAATATAATGTGTGTGCTATTTTAATTGAATAAAGTAGAAAATAATAATAAAGTGGTACCAAAATATTAACAGATTTTTCTTTGGGAAATTCTGAGGGTAACTTGAATACCATGTGGAACTTGAATAAGTTGGTTTTCTTAAAGTTACCGAATCTGATTAACATAATAATCTACTTTATATGTTTCAATGCCTTTAGAAAGTAGCATATTACTTCTAGGAATGGTGATTTTTTTCCCCATTGGTTGAAAGCATGAAGATTGGAATTTAATTGCTATTGGAAGTAATTCTTAGCGTTTTATAAATCATCTTGGTATTTCGCTATAAACATAGCAATCCTAGAGAAATCCTTGTAAACTGTTCACACAACCACAGAGGTATTTTTACCAAACCCCTGATAATTCTGGCTCCATATCCCATCAGTGATCCATAAAGTTCTTACTTAAGCCTACTAAGTATTTAAGGCGCGCACGCGCGCATGTGTGTGTGTGTGTGTGTGTGTGTGTGTGTGTGTGTGTGTCTGCCTCAATGGACCTGAGTGTGTGTGTGTATGTGTGTGTGTGTGTGTATTTGTCTGCCTTAATGGAACTGAGTAGTGAAATAGGGTTCATTTTAAAGCCATATGTTCTTTTACGCTTACTCTGAAAGAGTAAAAATTATAATCAATGTCAATCTTTCTAAAGAGCTAATTGTATCACCTTACATTTGGAAAACATTGGCATTTCATTGTTCCATTTGTTTTTACCATTGTTTTCTTTCATCATTTTGCTTGTATTGTTTCATGTTTTCCTGTCACAATATTCATAGTTGTTATATGTTATACATTTGAAGCCTCCATTCTACACCAGTCCTGCTGTTATCATGGCACACGGTGAGCAGCCTATCCCTGGTCTCATCAATTATCCCCATCATGCAACAGGCAGTACAGATGAACGGGTAAGACATCTTGGAAGACGTGTTGTTATATCTGATGGATCTTCAATGTGCTTTCCCCCTCCAAGTCCTCCCCGCCCACCACCTCACACTGACACTGTAAGAGCCATGGAGTATAATCCCTGAAGGAACTGAATGGAACAGGCTGTCCTGTGCCTGAAACACTGTGCAACCATCGAGATCCTACAGTTTGGGCATTGCACTTTCATCACATGAATTCCAAGAAATGCATTACTCATAAGTTTTTGCTTTTATTTTTATTTAGCAATTTCATCACATATCTTTAAATAAGTTACCTGGTTTAATTAAGATGATCCCTTAGGTTTATCATTTTAGGTCTTAGAATCTAAACAGATTTGTCAAACTAATATTGAATTTGTATTAAACTTCACTTTTTCCTCTTGATCATTGAATCTTATTTTCTTTTCCTTCATTATGCTCTCATTGTAATTTTTGAGAGAATTGTCTCTGAAAATTCTGTGATTCCTAATCTTCATATAAAAGTTTTTAAGGATACATATTATTTGTGTCTCCCACGGGTCAAATGATAGTTCTCAAAAATCTACACATTAGATAAGATAAACTTAGAAGTATAAATCATTAAACTGTGAAAATTTGGACCATGGCTACAAATGGTAATATGTATATAAAGTGAGAAGATTAAAAAGCAGAAAAAGAAGTAATAAAATGAATTTTGACTTTAAATAATTAGGAGCAATGACATTCAGAATTTAAAAATAAAGCAAAACTCAGCCTCAGTAGTCTCTTGGGAGATAATTTCTTGGGGGCAAGTGAAAACTTTAGCCTTTCTACTCAATTAGCCAAAAATGGTTGGAGAGAAACTAGTTTAATCAGATTAATTCACAACTATTATGTGTATTCTCCAGATACAGCATATTATAAATTATAAACATTTCGATCTAAATCAAATTAAAAAATTCTAGTCAGCCACAGCAATTATAATCATGCTGGTTCTCAACCTAAAGTAATTGGAAGTGGATATATTTATGACTAAGGTTTTATTATTTTATTCTGAGTTTCAGGTGAGTATACCAAAAATGGTATGAATCTTTTCCGTCCTAATTCTTCCAAGGATTGATATAAGTAGTACTATTCACAGGATAAAAGTTAATCTATCACATAAAATGAATATCTTAAAATGTAAAAAAAAATGTTAACAGTTAATTCTCTGGAGAAGCTCATTGAAATAGGCTAAAATCAAATGCAAATTACCTACCAGAGGGAAAAAAATTAGTTTCCCTCAGTGGATCACATTTGGCGGCTTTGAGGGCCACACAGAAGGATATGATAAATCCAGGGTTCATGATAGCAGTATTGATGATTGTAAAAACCCCATTCAATGGGATCTAATAACAGGATTACATATGAATGTATATAGTGGATTGTGTAAGATATGGCCCAAAAAAACTATAGGGTAAAAATAATAATAAATATGCTTTCCTGGGGATATCAAAGAGTTCAAGAAGAAAGAAAATCTTTAGAAATTAATTGTGGTAGCAGTGTACAATACTTGATGTGACTGCACTATGGAATGTTATGATACCTGCAAGAGCTCCCAATAAAATTATAAAATTAAATTTAAAAGAAGAATCTGAAAAGTATTTAGTTTAAAATCAGAAGATCAGGACATTAGCTCTAATTGCACCATTTAATTAAATATGGGGAAAATTACTTAAGATTTAAGCTTTAGTTTTCTCATATATAAATAGAAATAACAATTGTCTGCATATCATAGGATGTTATTATCTACAGCAAATGAGATAATTCATATGGTTAAAAAATATATAAACTTTGTAAATTTAGACTTGAATTTTGTAGAATTCTTTCTAGTTGCAAAACATTCATGTTACAAAACTGATAAATTGTTCCAGCCCATAAAATGTACAGTTTAACGAGCTGTTCTATTACTTCTATATGTTCCTAACCAAATCGTGACCAATAAAATAAAGCATAATCAATGTACTGACTTTTCAGAACTGACTGAATCTCATTACTCATTAATGCCAAAGTAATCAATTTACTGTTTCAGGAGATAAAGAATCTTGAGGAATGCCCCTTGTAATGTTAGTTTCCTCTCCAGCATCCATATCACCTTCTCTCTTCCTAACCCTACACCAGATTTCCAAGTCAGTGTTTGGGGTGGGTGAGGTGGGGGTGGGGGTGGGGGTGGGGGCAGAATTGACTAACCCAACAGGGCAGATTCTTACTGACTTACTATAACCAACATACCCATTTTACCTATCCATTTACTAGTTAAAGAAACACATGATTCAGTTAAGTCAGAGCCAGCAGGTCTCATCTCATATTTTATTTGAACTATCAGGAACAGAGCCCTTATTTGTTGAAATGTACAAATCCAAGAATTGCCTTGGGAATGTCTGCTAATAATAAGCTGATCATTTGGGGAAAAAAAAAAAAAAGACCTAGATGTGGAAGGAAGAGAGAGAGAGATTGGCCCTGGCCATAGAGTTTGAAGCAGTAACACAAGCCCCTTTTGAACTATGCAGTATTTCTTTACTCTTTAGTTACATAAGCTGATAAATTATTTTTTATTTTTAAGCTAACTAGAGTTGGGTTTTCTGCAACCAAAAATCATCTTAACTAATACATCTTATCTTAAGCCATACCGTCTTATCAAAGAAATTAAAAATCTCCCTTAACGTAACAAATACATCAAAATAGGAAGTGCTTAAGTTTCATATTTAGATGAGAACTAAAACCTGACACAGAAAAAGAGAGCAGAGGAATATAATACAAAGGAGGAAAAAAAGGAAAATAAATCTTGTCCTTCTGAGATTGCAAGATAGGTGTGAAGGTTTTTCAAGGAAAAGGGATCCAAATCTGAAAAGACAACCTGTGCTGTGTAATTTCAAGGGAACGGTTAGATTAACAAATCAAAGGCATAAAGATAGGCAGAGGAAGAATTTAAGACAGAGGGAAAATACCCATGGAGATTAACAGGACATCTTGTCTCACTGACAGAGAAATTAAATTTTCTAAAGAACAAGTCCCAAATAGTTATGATGCTCAAATTCTAGTGGATGCAAGAAAGTCTCCTCCTCACCCTGGGAAAAAAAGCTGGTGGTTTCCCCTTGGTAAAGGCTGTGAAGAAAACATGTATCAACTCCACGGGATCACTGATGAAGAATATTTCTGGCTCATGTATTTGGAATCTGAGAGCCAAAATGTTAAAATCAGCAACCTGCCATTCCCATAGAAAAAATGGCACCATTACAAAAGGGCAAAGACACAGTTGTTTTAGTCCTAAAATGGATATAGCTATACTTGGTTTTATAGACTTTTATCTATGAAGGTTTTGATGTATTAGAATAGTAATTGTTGAATGTTAGTCACTTTTATAAGTATTTTACATATAGCAATTATTTACATAATCCTCATTTTACCTTTGAGAAGTTTGAAGCTTGGAGAGGTTTCAGGTAATATAACCAGCTAGACCAGCAGTTCTCAACCTGTGGGTCGTGACCCCTTTGGAGGTGTAGCAATGAAAATAATTTTATGGTTGGGGGTCACCACCACATGAGGAACTGTATTAAGGAGTCGTGGCATGAGGAAGGTTGAGAACCACTGAGCTAGACTGACATAGTGTTTATGTCCACACAGTGTGGCTCCAGATCAGCACTCTTGGCCACTGTACTATAGGGTCTCTCGATACAAAAGGCAGAAACAGAATAAGTCTTGAAGGTAACTAGTTTTAAAAACTCTTCGTGAAAATGAGAATCATGAACTTTGGACCCTGGTTTGAAATGTTTTAATGATAAGCTTCAATGCAAGTTTAAGAATTTTAAACAATAGAATGTGTTTACTTTGGATATTTACTGATATGAGCAAAAGAGCCTGAAGCTGTAAGCAGCAGTTGAGAGAAATATATTTAGATAAACCCACTGTGTTAGACCAGGTTGACTAGAGAAACTAATCCAGGGACACTCATGTATGTATAAAGAAAGAGCTTTATATCAAGAAAACATCCCAGCCCAGTCCAGATCAAACCATAAGTCTGGTATTAGTCCATATGTCTGATATTAGTCCATAAATTCCTCTTTAGATTCACATAGCACATGTAGTGATGCCAAATTCAGGAAGATCACAGGTGGGTGGAAAGTCTTGTGGTTCCAATGCCGGTAGAAGCATCTCAGCGCTGGCCCCTCCAGCTCTGAGTATGACTCCACAACAGGAAGATGAATTGGAGAGTGTGCTCACCTGTACTGATGGCAGAATCCAGAGAGGAACTTCCCAGAATCCTCATGATAAGGCCACACCTACACAGAGGCATCATTGGCTGTGACCTGATTGACAGGCTAGACTCCACCCCTTCACTCATAATGCCCTCAAGTTGACACAAAATTATGTAACTACCATACCCATAAAGCTAAGTATTTTGGATGGCATAGAGTATCATGTTTTATAAGTAGTCATAACACCCAGAAATAGAAAATAAACCTATGTCAAAGATTTTGTTAAACATCAGTTAGTAAGAGAACCTTCAAACTGTTACAGCTAGCACAAAGGAGAATTCATAAGATAAATACGTGTATGTACAGTCACAGCATTGAGATGAATTTATAAGGAGATAGAAAACGTGGGTCAGTATATCAAGGAAATAATCACTTGCTCCTCAGGATAAAATTTATTTGCATTTTTATGGACAAGAACCATTGCATTACTAACAGTTTTCTAAAACTTGCAGAATTACAAAATAGGTAAGGAAAGTGGGAAATAATAAAATGTGCAGGTAATCCAGACAGGGAGGCAAGTTGGGACAGTCTCATAATCTTTTTGCCAATCTCCCCTGCCCCATGATCATACTAATCATGAATTGGCTGAGGCTATTACTGTAACCAATAAGATAAGAATCAAAGACTGTAACATTTTTACTGCCTGTGGAACATAACTATTTCACAAGAATTTTAATCAACATTTCCTCTGAGCCTAAAGCTATTATGCACAAGGAGGACGGTGGCAAT